CAGTGAACGTATCGATAATCGATCAAAAAATATTTTAAGTTAACGCAGCCATTCGGTGTCTAACGTTAGTCGAGGAAGAAAACAATAACAAAACGGGCTGTCAGAGTATTTATCGTCAAATAAAATAAATCTAAATGGTCAGTACCTTTCAATTCATTATTCGTAGAGCGTACATCAATAATCCGTCATTTCGTGAACGTAATTATTACATTTAATTATTGATGAAATTCTTTTTTACTACACGAAATAACAAAATAATCTCAAACATTTTCCTATTGACAAACCCAGATCGCATTTAATATGGCTGCCGTCTAATTAAAGCGTGCGCTTATTTGAAATCGTCATTTCGTGAACGGTCATTTCGGAAACGTTCCCGGACATGATGGCACGTTCCCGAAATGACTGTTGCGTTCTCGGAATGATGATTATTATTTCTAAGGGCGAATCATTTACAATATTTAATACATTTATTTTAAAATTTTGTTTCTTTATAATTACAGCAAAATGGAAACTCCTGATAAAGAAAAAAATAAACAAAAATCTCAAAAAAAGCTTAAAAAGGATTTGCGCCAAAGGGAAAAGACGAATGCTAGAAAAAGAAAGTTTTTGGATAAAATGACTGAAGAGCAGTAAGAAATTAAACGGGCTAAGGACAGATAATATCAGAGTCATTTATAAATCTGTATACTGTGCATCTTCCTCGGACAATAAAGATTTAGAGACAATATCTCGTATTCAGCAGATAAAAGTTAAACAGATTGATGTTGAAGCAAATACGTCTTATGGCAAAGAAAATATCCAAATCTCGTATATCCTGGAACATTCTTGCTTGTTAAAATCCCTACTGAGAAGAGACCTTTTTGTCCTTTTTTTAAGAGATAACTTGGAATTGTCATTCTCACTAAAATGTCTCTGGGGTGGTGGCGTAGTGAGGCGGGTCGTTACATTCCCTCTAATATGGTCGAGTGAAGCGATGGCTGGTTCACTCGTCATGTCTGTGAACAGGCGCTGCTTTCGGGGACTGGTCAATCCAAGTTATTCAAATGTATTAATGCGAGTTGCGATATTCTCACGTCCGAAATACCGCAGTGCCTCAAGTCAAAAGTATTCGACCAATGCGTGTTGCCAGTAATGGTATACGGATCTGAGACGTGTTCTCTTACTATGGGCCTCATAAGAAGGCTCAAGGTCACCCAAAGAGCGATGGAGCGGGCTATGCTCGGAGTTTCCCTGCGTGATCGAATCAGATATGAAGAGATCCGTAGGAGAACCAGAGTGACTGACATAGCCCGCACAATCGCTCAAATCAAGTGGCAGTGGGCAGGGCACATAGCTCGGGGAGCTGATGGCCGCTGGGACGGGAAGGACATCGTCTATCATCATCATCATCGACATGTGTCGAAGATGATGATAGAGAAATCTTAGTAACCTAAGGATAAATGATATACTATTGATTTTGAGCAAATAATCAGTATTATTCGAAAAATAATAAGTTTTGTTTTGTAATTTTAATATTTTTTTAGTTAACTTGTTGTTCGTGACATAATTACAATATATTGTTGATTTTCTTACGTTTCTTAAATATTTTTTGTATTATATACAGAACTTTAGTGCAGAAGACTGTGATTTAAGGTCAAAAGACTGAAATTGTAATAACTGATTAAAACTTATAAAAAATATAATATAAGTACAGAAGTTTAACTAGACTGATTTATGAAGATGTTAACACTGAATTATAATAAGAATTTATTAATAGTAAGAGTAGTTTTTCTTAACTGTGAACAATATGGCAATATAAATAAATAACTTGGTTATTTAAATAATTTAAATATTTCCTTATTTCTACCTAATTATATCAATATATCATCATTTCGAAAACATTTTTGTCATTCCGGGAACGGTTGATCATTTTCGGGAACATTACAATATTTCAATAAAATACGCATAAATGGAGGTATTTCAATATTATGTATATATTTATTACATTACAGAACTTGTGTTCTGTACATATTACGTTAATTCGATTAAAAGAGTTTTAAATATTATGAATTTTCTTAAATTGTATGCGGAATAATAGCAACTTCTTTATTTTTTTGACGTATTTTGCTTGTAGAAAATTTTGAATGTATTGATTTCATTATTGCTTATTCAAAATAGATACATAATATAGCCATGTTTTAAACAAAGCTCAAATTATGCGCTTTGTTTGGTTTTTCCGGGTTTTATGAAACTTAGGAAAACGTTCCCGAATTGATGGTTTTCTGCAAGATATTTACTACTAAGCAATATTACAAAAAAAATAAAGAATTCTGTGCGCTGCCCTGTCAAGGTTTAAAAATATACAAAATAAGCAACAGTATAAACTAATAGTTATCATTATAGCTTGCAATTTTTTTTGTCATAAAACTGATTTTGAAATTCGCAACCTTGGTGATTTTGAGCCAAATAAGTTTGGGAACCACTGCTGTAAACGTTTTCTATCGATCGGGTACAAAACATATTTGAAGAAAAATTGTGTATGAAAAAAATATCGGCGAGACGGGTGTCGCAATTACGAGTACACCCCATGGAACAAAAACAGAACCGACTGACAGTGACTATTTCGAAGCACTGTTTGGCCATGTTCAAACGTAACCCGTAAGGAGTAAAGGAGTTTCTGCGTCGTTTTATAACTGTATACGAAACGTGAATTCAGCACACACACAGCAACACAATCATGATGCCCCAACAATATTGGTGTTATTTGAAAGCCCAATAAATATCCTTAAAGAAAAACACATTTAATTTCTTAATAAATGATTAACATTAACATGTACCATAAATGTGACTTGTAAAGAGACTTTACTATGGGCTCACCTCTGGCATCAATTGGACCAAATTTTATGGTTATAAAATCAAATAATGATCACACATGTCCTCTTTAACAGATGGATAGCGATTAATCCCAACAGTTTTATAGTCATAAAAGTTAGTTCAAGCGTAACTACCTATTTTTTGAAGAAGTGACTCTGGATCCTTCTAAACACACATTTTTGGGGTAAAAACCTTTCCTTTAATGAAATGAAGTTTAGAACTAGGCTTTTAAATGGTGCCAATATTGGTGGGAAGTGGGGATGCATACGTTTGAAAGTGCATGTCGCGGGAGGTGCGATTTATTTGATGTCGAGTGTATTTTACCCGGCGAATCTGCTAAAAAATAGCGAAATCCGTCCCATATCAGCCAGATAGATAGATTGGCATTTTATTTTATTTTATTTAATAAGTACACATACAGGTTACAGTCATTTACATATCAAAATACATAAACAAAATGAACACTGTCTAGACTCCAACCTACAAGTAGCGTACATTTAAGTTACGATGATTTTCATTTACGTTGCACAATTAATAAACACATACAAAATGCTCAAATACACAACCCTATAAACTGTGTTAAAAAAGTAAAAAGTTATCAATTATTTTTTGTATTATTATCAATATTTATATTTAAAACTGTGTCAATGCTTCTGCGAAACGAGTGTAATAGGCTAGNAACGTCCGAAATACCGCAGTGCCTCAAGTCAAAAGTATTCGACCAATGCGTGTTGCCAGTGATGGTATATGGATCTGAGACGTGGTCGCTTACTATGGGCTTCATAAGAAGGCTCAAGGTCACCCAAAGAGCGATGGAGCGTGCTATGCTCGGAGTTTCCCTGCGTGATCGAATCAGAAATGAGGAGATCCGTAGGAAACCAGAGTGACTGACATAGCCCGCACAATCGCTCAAATCAAGTGGCAGTGGGCGGGGCATATAGCTCGGAGAGCTGATGGCCGCTGGGGCAGGAAGGACATCACCCATCATCATCGACATGTGTCGAAGATGATGATAGAGAAATCTTAGTAACCTAAGGATAAATGATTACTGTTGATTTTGAGCAAATAATCAGTATTATTCGAAAAATAATAAGTTTTGTTTCGTAATTTTAATATTTTTTTAGTTAACTTGTTCTTCGTGACAGAATATATTGTTGATTTTCTTACGTTTCTTATATATTTTTTGTATTATATACAGAAGTTTAGTGAAGTAGACTGTGATTTAAGGTCAAAAGACTGAAATTGTAATAACTGATTAAAACTTATAAAAAATATAATATGAGTACAGAAGTTAACTAGACTGATTTATGAAGATGTTAACACTGAATAATAATAAGAATTTATTAATAGTAAGAGTAGTTTTTCTTAACTGTGAACAATATGGCAATATAAATAAATAACTTAGTTATTTAAATAGTTGTTTATAATTTAAATATTTCCTTATTTCTACCTAATTATATCAATATATCATCATTTCGAGAACATTTTTGTCATTCCGGGAACGGTTGATCATTTTCGGGAACGTTACAATATTTTAATAAAATACGCATAAATGGAGGAATTTCAATATTATGTATATTTTATTACATTACAGAACTTTTGTTCTGTACGTATTACGTTAATTCGATTAAAAGAGTTTTAAATATTATGAAATTTCTTAAATTGTATGCGGAATAATAGCAACTTCTTTATTATTTCGACGTATTTTGCTTGTAGAAAATTTTGAATGTATTGATTTCATTATTGCTTATTCAAAATAGATACATAACATACCCATGTTTTAAACAAAGCTCAAATTATGCCCTTTGTTTGGTTTTTCCGGGTTTTATGAAACTTAGGAAAACGTTCCCGAATTGATGGTTTTCTGCAAGATATTTACGACTAAGCAATATTACAAAAAAAATAAAGAATTGTGTGCGCTGCCCTGTCAAGGTTTAAAAATATACAAAATAAGCAACAGTATAAACTAATAGTCATCATTATAGCTTGCAATTTTTTTTGTCATAAAACCGATTTTGAAATTCGCAACCTTGGTGATTTTGAGCCACCTACTGTAATTAGATAAAACGTATAAATGAACAAGATTTTATTTTCAGTAAGTGTATAGCAATGCTATACCCTTCCACACTAGCGATTTGACTGACGATATCTCTGCGGATGAAATCTCTCCGCGATTATCAACTTACTGGTAGCGTAGTTAGTGCGATTTATCGATAAATCACCGAACAAATCGCTAGACTGAAAAGGCTTTTATGATGCTTTCAAATAAACTAGAAAGAAGTAATTTGATCTACAATTTTCAAATGTCAGTATCACATCTTGCGCCAATGCGGGCACCAGGTGCCCAAGAAGGAGTAGACCGCCGGCCTCTCTGGCAGGCAGTAGCCCAGGAGTTCCAGCAACGGAGGGGTCTTCACAACCGAGTCGTGGAAGTCCTTGAAGTTGATCACGCCGTCTAGGTCGGCATCCATGCGCTTCAAGATGATGTCTACCAGCTCCTGTCAATGTCAAAACGTAGGCCTAACGTCATGCGTACTCACATCGGGACATTTGCGACAAACATGTGACTTTTGCGAAGCGAGTTCGAGCCATCGAGTGACTTCACCGAAGCTAGATTGCAAAAATTTAATTAATATTGTCCATCAGACAAATCAAGAAAATATTAGACACGTACATATTTTTTTTCTTTCATAGTTAAATAATAATGGTTATTAAAAGTTGAAATGGTGCGTGACGTCATGCCTGTGAACTGCCTGTCCCAATGCGGTGGTGAATTCGTGTTCATTCATTTTCATCTTTCGTGAGTTTACAATAATTAAAATTTGACAGACAGATACGGGCGATACGGCAGATATGAAACGTAGCGAAATTAGCTTTAATGAATTTGTGCGGTATGATATTTAATGTTAAATCCGTCTTTAGGTTATAGTCAAACCTCGAAGTTCCGGCACTCCTAGGTTTGACTAGTCAATCCTCAGGTCTGACTAGAAGTCTTAGTCAAAGCCCAAACATTTCGGCCTTTGACTAAATAATGTTAGTCAAACCTAGGAGTAACTAATTTGGTCAGGCAAAGGTCGAAACTCAATTTAATGAAATCGGGGTTTGACTAGTCAAACCTGAATTAAGACTAAACTAAACTATACTTAATTCTGATCTCGAACTCATTGCATAGGCGTTACGACGCGGTCGGTTTTCACGCGCACGCGCAGCTATCTCTTTAGGTGAAGGTACGAGTAACTAAACTTATACAGTACTCAGGTTGGTTGTCAGTGTTTCTAGATCGATCTTGATTAATTACTAATTTTTAGGGTTCTGTTACCTTAAAGGATAAAGAGTTTAGACCCTATTATTATGACTTCGCTAAATATTGTCTGTCACCAGGCTCGTATCTCATGAATCATTCACTTAAAAAATAAATAATTCAATAAAATACTTAAATATTTAAGGGGGGCTCCCATACAGCAAACAACTTGTTGCAGTTTTTTACTTGATATTAATAAAAACGTTAACAGGTGAACCCTTGAAATATTCACATAATTTTAGTTGCATTTTAAAAATAATTCATAAAATTAAAATAAAATAAATATTTAAGGGGGCTCCCATACAACAAAAGAGTCACACGGAACCCTTCGTGAGCGAATCTGACTCACACATCATGCCTGGTTTTCTATTTGCCGTCTACTTTTGACCGAGTCTGTCAGTCGTTTTTAGGATTGACTAGGCAGAGCCCGAAACAGATTATTTTAGTTTCGACGTTTGACTGAACCGTTTAGGCACTTCTAGGTTTGACTTAGTCAAAGGCCGAAATAAGAATTTACTTTGGGGTTTGCCTGAAGGCCTTGGTCTTGGTCAAACCTAGGATAGACCAGTCATTCCGCGAAGAGACTGCATATCGACCTTTGACTATGACATATACAAAAACATATTTCACAGGTTTATAGATGTCGTAGAGATCGAATTGTATATCATTGTCTATAATTTGCAGCTTAAAATTCACCTATGCACGAATAAAGTGTATGTAAAATAAATCAACAAATATTGTTCATATAACCCGAGGAAGACAGCCAACATACTGATGCTCCAAAAATCCCAGAAGCATTCACAAATTCTACAGACAAAGCTATTTAACATCCAGACATTTTATTCAAATTCGAGATCTCATTCGTGGAAGTTAGCATCGTTCTGTTTTTTTTTAAATCTACGAAAACATTTGGTATTAAATTTCAAAGGTCAATACGCAAATCCGAAATGAATCGAAATGTGAACATGCGACACGTGTAGCTTTTCAATAACAGATTCGTATATTTGAATGACGTCCCTTTGATGTTGATTTTGAGTCGGATACCGCTGGCCGTGGTTGTACCGGCGGTTGCCGACAAAGTTGCCGGATCTGCCACTTGAAAATCACACGTATTTCATGGATATAAGGTAAGATGTTACACATGTGACCTTGACTTTGTGGCGAACCTTTATCTCAACAGGCAGTTTATTAAAGCTTCCTTGGTTTACCTATCGCAGAAGCATTTTAAATTACGTAGCAAAAAGTCCTGTAGCTCTGTTTAGATAATATTTTATTCCTCCTATTTTTATACGACAAAGACTGTCACCTGTTAAACAAAATATTGATATTTTATACTCTTACAGGAGATTAAATAAATACTTTAAATATTGAGGATGAGTTTAGATAAACTTTAACCACATAATATTTAAGTTAAAGCAATACTTTCAGCGCTTGGTGAAAAAATCCCTGATAGCCCATTAGGTCACCCTTAATCGGCAGCCTTTATTAAAATATGACAGCTTTAATCAATGCAAAGTCTACATGAATGTCTGAAACTTTGCTACAACCCTGTGAAAATGGCTGTAAACCTTGAAAAACGGCTCTCACATATCTAGACAAAAACGGAATTGAATTTATTGAACATTTTTCAGGGCTTTGTTAGTAAACAGAGCCGTAATGGACCGTGACCGTGGCCGTGGCCTGGCTGAAAACAAAAAAATGGCGAGTGATATTATCGGATTTTTCAGTTCCAAGAGAAAACCGGGCACCAGTTAAATGGATCACCGTTTCGCCCGCACGTGCAACTGCGTAGTTGTGTCTGGTTTTAATGTGGGTGTACTTGAACTATCAGATTTTCCGTATCATTTCTGCATAAACGGATAATGATCAGTGTTGAAATGCTTCAAATACAATCAAAGGGAGAAATAGGGTATTAAATAATTGGTATCAACCTTGGAACAGACGAGAGGAGGAAAGGCAAAAGTAAATAATTTTCGTGCCTTAATTATTATGCAAAATTTAAGGTGCATACAGAGAAAACATTTTGATAAGATAATAAGTATTTAGTACGACGATGATGATGATGATCCGTATCACTGAAATAAGATTATGTCAAAATCTAAAAGAATTTTCTTACATGTTTCCTGTGCAAAATGTAATATAGAGGTAGTTTATAGAATTTGCTTGGAAGTCGTTATAGTGGAATTTGATCTTATTTTAACGGCGTCTAAGGTAATTTTCTTTTTAGGCCGAAGACTGTCTCGCCTAGACATAACTAGCCTACTTTGCTTCCTCAATTTCTTTTTATTGAAATATTATTATGTAGGTAATTTCATTAGTTTTGCTGTCAAATTATATAGAAAAGTCGCCCGCCTGACACTGCTCCGGTATTCTCTGCTTTGGTGGAAACCGGGCCCTATAGCTTAAACTTTTATGAACGTCTTCCCTTATTGGGGTAGTAATTAAGAAATTAATTATTGAAAGTCATAAAGTTATCTAAGTACCTTACTATAGTGACAAAATATATTTTTACGTATCTACTCGTTTTACGTTCTTACTAAGTAAGTAAGTAGTAGGTAATATTCGCGAATCCATAAAATGGTCAACTTATCTTAACTTTCTTAGAAATCGTTCATTTTTAACTACTAGCGCCACCTATCGACGGCGCTCGAACGTAAGTGTAAGCAATGTTTGCCGTCTCTAGGCTAAGAAAGTCTTCAGGCGCCTAACCTGAAATAGAAAATCACCTGATACGCCGCTGGCGTCGCTAGTGTGTTCGACATAATGGTTACCTTCTTTTCTTTTTCATTATCTAAGATGGCGCTACTTGACGGAATCTACATTATTTTACTGTAAATGAGGGATTTCGCGATTGAAAAATCCGCCAGATGGCAATACGTAGACGGGAGGTCCAAATGCTGCATGATTGGTGGATTTTGACATGACATTGACAGATATATCAAAATCCACCAATCATGCAGCATTTAAACCTCCCTACTACGTATTGCCATCTGGCGGATTTTTCAATCGCGAAAATCCTCATTAATATAAGTACCTACTACCAGGACTATCAGTGTGCCTAGTAGTTACATACTTAATTATTTTATTTGTTTAGTATAATTATTTCAGAACTAACCTTGACTGCCTCTTCGACGTCATCATCTCGAGAAGCCTTGGCCAGACTCTTTTTCATTAGCTGGTACATAGTTTCTCTTCTAAGAGATCCCTCTCCCAGCAGATCATAGCACTGTGAATATAAAAAACAAATTAATAGGAGATAGTATCAATTTTAGTTTTAGTTAGTAGGTCGATAGGCCTAAATTTTGTGTTTCGTGTTTCATTGTAACTGTTTTAAAATAAATAAAGAAATTCAACAATGTATTAAACACGTGAAAATATTTAAATTAATTGCAAAATAGTGTCGTGAAAATGTACTGTGTGAAAATTCGAGCCGTACGAGAGAAAAAGCAAAAGAGTATCGAAATTAATCGTCGAAAAAAGAATGACGTTTCTCGGTGGCCAGTGTCGCGCGTAAAAATAAAAAGAATGAAGGAAAGGTTCAATAACAAAATCAGCTATTTTAAACTCCTGGGAGTAACTTTAATCTGAACTAGTGACATAATATTATCACCCGAATCCAAACGCCGCACACTGAAAACCAGTGTCGTGCTTCGTTACCGTGGGCCACGGCATTAAGCTAAGTGGGGTCCCGTTGCAGTGGGCATCCTGATTGTGAGTAGGTGGCACTACTCAGTTCACTCTTGTTTTTGTTTTACTTTCTTATTAACTATTATGTGGCACTTTATGTCTCTATGTAATTGCCTGTATTTATGTGATGTCCATTGTAATAAAATGTATCCTTCTTTCTTTCAAATCCCAACTCGTGTGAAGTAAGAAACTAGCATTATGCATCTTCATTTCGGTAAACAATGTTCACATTCGATTTCGTTCGCAGCGCACGTCCCGGTGATGCGACCAACGAGATTACCTCCGTCCTTTCATACGAGGGGCGGCTGAAAAGTTTTGAGCCTAAGTACCTTCAAGTGTTATTATTGACTCGCGCTAAATTTAATTAAATAGCCAATACCCCCCTTAGTATATGTACAAAGTTTCATTTCATTAGCGTCATCACGCTTTTAGTAATTAATCCGTAAACATCATGATGTCTCAGTCATCAGCGCAATGTACGAAATTGAAGTACACAGTTGTCATAAAATTCCTCAAAAAGAGGAACAAAACGCTGACGGTAACATTTGAAGAGATGTCTACAGTTTATGGGGAGTCTGGGCCTTCATTTGCCATCACGAAAGATTGGATCCGATAGTTCAAGCATGGCAGGGAGTCGCTAAAAGATGACCGCAAGTCAGGGCGGCCAGATTTCGCCATTAACCAATAAAAAAATGAAAATTTAAGGAATCTTGCTTTAGAAATTAGCAAATTAAGCTGTGACAGATAGCTGAAGCCATAGGCATTAGCAAGGAACGTATCGGCGATATTTTTCATACTCATTTGCACATGAAATAGGGGTGCGCGCGATGGGTGCCAACAATGCTCACGACGCTTGACAACCAGCGTTGAGTCACAACTTCGCAGGAGTTTTAGGACATCTTTGGCCATAATCCTAACAATTTTTTTTCTCACATTGTCACTATTGATAAATAATAGATCCGGCAGTATGATCTAGAGTCAAAATAAGAGTCAATGCAATGGATTCAAAAGGGAAAACACCGCCGCGGAAATTCAAAGTGGAGCCATCGACACCCAAGCTCACAGCCACTATTTTTGGGATTGTGAAGGAATTTTATTCATTGACTACCTACTTAAAAAAACTACAATAAACGTGGATTATTATGCTGTACTGTTGATAAGAGTGCGTCAAGTGGTTGTTGAAATATTAAGAGGCAAACTGGCGAAAGGAAATCTGATATTGCAAGACAATTCGCCCGCGCAAACCGCGCATGTTGCATGGCTTGCCCCGGGTAAAACTGGATTTCAAGAAATTAATCACCCACCACACAGTTTAGTCCGAATCCCTAGCTATTTTGTCTAATTCTCAAATTGGAAAAAAGACCTCCAGGAACGAAGATTTTTGAGTGACAAAGAAATGAAGGCGGCGTTATAGGCTCATTTCGAAGGCAAAGATTGCGAATTTTTTTTCAGTGGGTTAAATGCTCTTATTCACAAATGTAAGAAGTCCGTTGTAGTAGAGGGAGATTAAATAGAAAAATATATTTTTTATACTTTTCTACCGGCATTTTTAATACCCTAGGCTCAAAACTTTTCAGCCGCCCCTCGTATTTCTCTATTTTAGTAATTGAATAATCCCTCGCATTAAATTCGACACGCGCCTGAAACACGGCCTATTAAGCGATGAGATTCACGGCCATGACCACGGTGCCTACCACTGGAACCAATCTCGTATAGCATTATGTAAAACCCCTAAATAAAGATTATATTACTGGGGGAGGCTTTTGTCTAGCAGTGGACGTCATTCGGCTGAAACGAACGAAAGAACAAAGGGTTATAGAAAAATATTCATATCATGTCTCAATAAAGTACAAAATCAGCTACTATGGGAAATGTGTTTACTTAATGGCTAACAATTCAGACACGAGGAGAAAGGGTTAAGATACTAATTACGTATAGTTCCATGCCAACTCAGATTCAATTAAAAGTAGTTGCTATCAAATCTGAGCTTTCCCATAGAAAAAAGATATAATTTAACGTTTCATACTTTTACACTATGAAAAAACAAACATCACAATAAGACGTAGGAATTAATTACTTAGATACTCAATTAAGTAGCTAATGTTAAATTTTCAACAGCTTTACAACTAAGAACTAATTTTGCGACACTATTATCGTTATTAAGAGGTCTAAAAAGCTTCGTTGAATAATAAATTGGCTAAAATCTCTTCAACAAATAGACTCTTAGATTGACATTATAAGTAGTATTAACGAATTTACATTTTAGGTATCACTGAAAAGCTACTAAAATCACGAGATAGCTTAAAATGGATTAATATAAAGTTGATTTCATTAGTAGGGGTCCTATCGTAACTGCTGCAGTTGGTTTATTCTGCAAAAGGTTGTACAAAACATTGGAAATATTAATAAAGTCCATACGTGAGCATCCAGCATTGTTTTCACTGTATACCAACAAACAATCAGTGAACAACCGATGTATTATTGCTGATTCAGAGAATGTAAAAGTTTTTTTTATTTTCACTAAGTATTAATTGGCTCTTTGTAAGTCGATTCGAGATTCCTTTAGTAAAGAAATATACCAATTTGTCGTCGTTATTTTTGAAACCTTGTTTTGTCTTATCCTCGATCACTACAACTATAGCTCTTACGTCATTCGAGACCCTTTGCCAAGTCTTATCAATTATCACAATTACACAAATAACAGGCACCATGAATTATATTACAAATCTTGAATTCCCTGGACAGGCAAGAAAAAATATTGCGTGATTAGGTAGCTCCATACGACTTGTTTTCGTAAGTGGGACGAAGATTCTATTTTATTTGAAATAATCTGTCTGTTTTTTGACATTGGATCCGTTATAATGTTAGCGTTCTATTTCAGAATATTTTCAGGTTAGGGCTCAACAAATATTCATTATTTTGCTTTGATGCAGTGTGTGGGGGATGCCCTCTGGCTGGGGGCCGAGATTCCTGCGTGGGTAACTCTAGGCTGATTTGATTGAACGAACTTTGAAGTCCATCCAAACTAAAATAGCAACAGTTTCATATTAAATCATTTTCTTTTTCAAAAAGTGGTGAACATTTTAATACACATTTGATTTATTATTGACTATTTTTATATGACGTTTAAGCTACTATTACACTACTACGCGTTTACTGGGTGCGTGAGCCTTCCTCGCGAGCATAACAAAAGGCAATCGTGATAAGCTCGCGGCGTGAGCGCCATGTTTAAATCTGTTTATCTATTCTCTATAATTTAACATCTTGAATGTATTGATCTCACATCGACTCTAACATTTTAGCAAAATAAAATAAAAAAACCTAAAGCCTTCCTTTTTATATTCTTAGCCAGTGTATTTTTACTTTTCCAATCCGTTGTAACTAATGATAATATTAGATCGTTCATTCTTTGCACTCACGCACGCGAATGCTCGCACCGTACACGCCAGCAAGCGCTAATGTAATCACGGCCTTAATTATATTTGTACATGAAATTGAAAAATGTTTCAACCATTCCGGTTTGTGTTGTATTATTCGCAAATGGCAATCGCGTCTTTGTATCCTCCAGGAATTCTATTTGGCCCAATTTCCTTCGTTTAGTTAATAGACATCCTTGTGTTAACACACGTTCTAAGAAACAAATAACATCGGTGTTTTGTTTTCGTACAAATGTGTAATCAAGTTCCTTTTCTAGTCTTATTATTCTATCCCCCGAACCGAGGTGATTGTGGGGGGATGTGTGGACCCAGCCCAACCAAATTTCTTTTAAATGGGATTGAACAATGTGAATACAAGACTAATAGTAATATTATTAACTAAGTTTAATTAAAGAGGTAGGGTGGGTGCAACAGTCCCACACCAGGAACCAGTAGTACACCATTTCTAATTTCACATCAAAATATTGACAATCTGTCGAATTTCCCGCCACTTTTGTTACGTTTGGTAGCACTGCCGTACTTCTACCAATAATTAGTCATAAATAAAAGCGACAAACACGACTTGGTACGATCTGGTCAATCTTAGGCGCATTGCGACTTTCCACATTGATTGTTAAATAAAAATAAACCTTACAGCTATTAAGAAAATTAGAATAAGCTACTTGATTCTACGATATATACAAGGAGTAGTTTTTTTTTTTTGCAATTATTGTTGTAATAATTGAGTCACAATATCAAAATTACTTTTAAAAATTCGCTTATTCGGTTTGTTACTGGTACACCCACCCTATTTAAGTTATTAAAAACTAATTTAAGCAAAACAATGAATTCCCAGTTTCAAGAGAATCTGCATCACGCATATACATATATTACTTTGAAATGTGGGAGCAAATACTTTTCGGCAATTTCATCATGCCGTAATACTAAGGTACTTTTTTAAATGTTAAAAATAGCCTTTCTTTTGATTCACGTGATTCGACCCAACGATTTATGATTTAATTTGTAGAGTTATATCCGAAAATAAATATAACAAAGCCAAGGTACTTTTGCAACACTTCATTTCATTACCCTAATATTCGAGAGCCCCATTTACCTTATGACAATATTACATACTTTTACGCGACAAATCGCATGTATAAGATATAATTACCGTTCTCTCAGTGTTCAAAGGGCAATTTGTAATTGGTTTTAGGCCGTGTTCAATTTAAGCACTCACAGTGAATGCGTAGGAGATCCTCTCTTCAAGATCGCCGCGGAGGTAGAGGGAGAGGGCTTTGGCGAAGGTGGCCATGGTGACGTAGGGGGAGGTCCCTCGATCCAGGGCTACCATCACCCGCTCCATCATGTACGCGTCTGTCATGCCGAGGCCTGTGTGTAGGACATCCCTGAAGTGAGCTCTGTGGACGTAATCATGTCAATAGGGTTCAGAATAGAGTTCAGATTCACTCTTTAGACAATCAACAAATTTACAGATGCTTCAGCCATTCAGATACCTGGATATCAAATCGTGTCCCGCCGGTTTCTCATCGCGCTTTTGTATCTTGAAAAATATGACCATTATTTCTGAAACAAAAGCAGTCCGTTAAAGGAATTTCTATCTATTGTTTTTTCTGCTGGCTGATCTATTATCAACCGACTTCAAAAAAAGGAGGAGGTTCTCAATTCGACCCGTATGTTTTTTTTTTTATAACCAAATCTTCTGAGTCCTGTCTGTAATTAATAAAATGGGGCGCACGTGCAAAGCCGCGAGCAATATGTAGGTAGTGTTCTATAAGCTAACATTCATTTAATTCATTTACGTTCAATCAAGCCCTTACACCCTAATAAAAAATTTAAATTCATAATAATTGAATGAAAAAATGCCTATTTCATATCCTTTTATGAGTAAAATCTTTCAATAACATTTCAACATTTAAAATTTTGCACCTCTCATGAACAAACACGAAGGCCTACATCGGATAGAGAGTTGTCATGGATTCGTCGAAAAGCCGGGGTCAATGCGAAAAAGATTTATTTTTCATTGAAATAATAGTTATTCGCTGGAAAACATCCGACCAGACGGTGTAAACAAACATACAATGTCTGAATTCACGGCCGCCTGTTAGGCTCGGTTTCCACCAAGGCGGGGCGGTGTGCAGCGGAGCAGAGAATTTTTATGAATAATCTCCACTCCACTTCGCTTCAGTGGAAATGGATCGAGCGGAGAAGAGCGGAGAAGTGTGGGGCACACTTGTTTTTTCTATAGAATTTGACAGCGGTGACGGTGCGGTGCGATGCGGAAAGGAGCGAAGCGGTGCGCAGATTTGCGGAACGGTGCGGTGTTTCATTGATAGCAATAGACTGACAGCTGACAGCTATGCACAGCTCACACGACATCTCCTCTCGTATCCGCACCGCTCCACTCTTCTCCGCTACGCTTTGATGGAAATAGACTGCCAGTTTGCCAACCTTGGTGGAAACCGGGCCTTATTGAGTAAAATCAATCGGCATTGAACTTGAAATGCTTCGAATTGAAAATTGAAGCTGTAATATCGCGGATATGTGATATTCGGATTTCAGCCGTCTGCGTTTGCAATCCACGTAATTAACTGGCGGCGTGCACCAATGATGGTGAATACGGAATCTTTTAATTATTAGTGATTAGTTTTAATTATGTATTGCCAATTTTAATTATTGTTTTTCTAGGGTTGTTATAATCGGTCAAAACTACCTACTTGTGACTGCAAAAATTAGTCAAAAGTGGTTGTGACTGATGCCCTTGGTCAAGCTGTAGATCCTGGCTACACAGGAGTTGCAGTGGTGGGAACGAGAGGTGGGAATAGTCCCGTTTGATGCCCTTGGTCAATAAATAACACTTGACTGATTTTTCCAGTCAAAAGTAGTTTTGACCGATGCCCTTGGTCAATATGCAGCGATGACACCGAAACTTAAAGTGAACTTTTTTATCTGTAAAGTATTATGACCATAATAGGAGCTCTGATCGTGATGGATACCGCACAGAACATTGCTTTTCGCTGAATTCGGATGTGCACGCTAATTAGTAGCATATAGCCAATATGACAATTATTCTGCTTTCAGTGAAATTATTTGACCGTCAAATTTTGCAGAAACGTAAACAATGTGGTTTCAAGGTCCGGTGAGAATGTACACGTGTATCCGATATGCTTTTGAGTACTTGTGTATTGTATTGTTAAGCTCTTACAGTCAAAACGTTGATCTAAGATCAGTAGGTAAACATGATAATTACTTATAGTCATTGTAAGTACTGTTTGGATGTTAATGTAATATCACAATCTCCTCCAAACCTCAAGAGATTTAATAAGACACTATTCAAAGAAGTAACGGTTAAATACATATTTTAAATAAATAAATAAGGTTAAGTTATTTAATCAATTTAAAATTCAACAAACATAAGTAAGGTTCTATGAAATTTAATACACTTATTGAGATAATGAAGTTTTTAACACTTGTCTGGACTGCACTTCTGCTTGACTTGACCCTATTAGGGGACCTGCTATTTTGTATATTAAATACGAGTACATAACAACCCGACGATCTAAAAGATTCCTTAAGGACAAATCTTTTTAAATCTAAATGCAAAAAATCGCTTTCACCAAGAACATGCTATTAATATGCAAATAGTAAAAGCCCCTTTTCCACGGACCAAGAATTAACTGGTTTCAGCTAGATTAATCAAACTCATTCTAAATGCGTATTACGGAATCTTAAAAAATGAGATTGGGGTGAATCTTGGTTTCTTTAATTAAGATGAGATATAAAAATCCAATCAAACAGACATTTCGGTGTTAAGGGCTACCTTTTTAGCTCTCTTAAGGATCATAAAGTACCACATAACTAAATAAAGTTCTCTCGAGCACCGCTCTACTACCGTATAAACCTACTAAGTAGAAATGAAACATACTGAAAAAGTTACAGTTCCTTCGTTAGTCACTTTAAACATAGACATGTTGCATCAAGCCAAGTTTGCAAAATATCGTTCGATTTTATAACTTGCCCTAGGCACGAGCCGCATCAATGTCACCAAGGTTCTAATTCTCGAAGACATTCGTGTAAGATACAGCGATATTTCATTTCGATGCAGCAGCACTATCGGAATCCTATGTCTGCCAAGACCACTTCCGTAAGCTCTCAAACTTGACGCATAGCCCCAACTCAATTTATCATGGGACCCGTAACTGAACAGTCATCCATTAGCACTGGACTGAGCTGGATTGATATATTCAATATTCGTAAATGGATGAATGGGTTTGATCTTATGCTGCTGTACTCGCCAGGATATTACAAGGATTCCTTGTCAGGACTACGGAACCCTAATAAAGGGGCTTTTGAAGGAGTGCTAGAAAAGAGGTGAAAGCGAGATTAACCCGAAGACACAACCAAATATGGACCAAATCCATGACGGTGTCTCACAATAGTTTTATGACTCTAAATTTAAAACAATGTTGTCAATAAATCTAAGAATTAAGTTGATATTGAGTCCGAGGTCACAGTCTGGCGTATTAACTCAAATATGTCGAATAAANAGGAAGGAAACCGCAGAAATAAGTCTAATAAGTCCTCGCGCAGTAACAGTGACGAGCGGTCGCGCGCGTAATATTTAACTTTGATCATGTAATAGTATGCGCGCACGTACGTTATTTATACTGCAAAATCGTAATAATGACTAGTAATATGATAGTTAACGAGTTATTGACTTTTGTTCAAAATAAACTGGATGTTCTTGACGAGCTCAGTGTAGTGCAGATATGTGCCTCTAACTATTCTGACGAAGAAATTGAAGTTGCGAAAGCAATTTTACACGACTCAATATCGGATGGATCTAGAATCGTAACTAGAAAAGGCGAGGACAAGAAGAAGAAAAACCTAAAAGATATCCTTAAATTACTGAAGGAAACTGACCCTGACCAACATCCCCAATTTGTGGCCAAGGACTTGAACAGGCTACCACCTGTTACATTTGACCATATTGATGTCTCCCGACTTCTCAAGGATATGACCCAACTAAAAACAGAACTTAATTTATTAAGAGACAGTTTGATATCTAAGGATGACTTAAAGAGTATTAATGACGAGCTTAAACAATTACGTTTAGCTAGAAACACAATGACCAAGTCAACACCAAAAAGATCCAAACGCACATCCACACAGTCAATGACGTCATCGCAAATGGAGGAGGCAAGTTGCGGTGTCCCGAGTACGAGTTCTATGAACAGCGCTCTCTCAAAGACACCTGCACAACCGTCCCGCGCAAGCGGTGAAACAGCTATGGCGCAAGCGCACGGCCCGCACGGTGAGGGATCGTCGATACCTACCTATAGGGACATTATAGTGAAGACTCAGTCGGCGTGTAAGTTAACGCAAGGGAAATTAGACTCAGAAAGTATACGCATTAGTGACGATTCTGACTTCCAGGCAGTTATACACAAAAAACGCAGCAAGCGAATAACCAATATGAGAGGAACGTTAGAAAACTGCAACAGAATACGAGTGGCGGAATCAACAAGTTGTATTTACGTCTCAAGATTTACAAAAGATGTTTCTGAGGATGATATAAAATGCCATATTCGGGATATGGGCGAGGATTGCCGTAGTATACAGATGCTTAAGCAAAGCCGCGAGACAACGTTTAACTCGTTTAAAATTGAGATTCTCAGCAGTAAACTTGACAGGTTTCTGCGTGGGGATTTCTGGCCATCCGGGTTGGTGTTCAGGCGTTATAAGGAGCGTTACGTTTCTTACCGCACTACAAAACAACTGTAATGAATAGTACACCACAACATAATAGTACAATAAATATAGCGACATTCAACTGTAAAAGTGTGAAGCGTTCAGTTGAATATGTACGTGAGCTATGTAAGATCGTGGATGTAGTCGTCCTCCAGGAAACATGGTTGCTTCAGCATGACCTTGGCTTTGTCCAGAACATAGACCCTGACTTTGGAGCTTTCGCTAAGTCCTCGGTCGATAGTGGAGCTGGGGTGCTGCGTGGGAGACCATACGGGGGCCTGGCTATCCTATGGCGAACGTCAGTATGTAAAGAGGTAAAAATTATTAACTGTACCTCAAATCGAATATCTGCTATAGAGGTTGGGAATGGAGAACGACGTTTCTTGATATTTAACATCTACATGCCTGTCGACGAAGAAGAAAATCTGACTGAATTTACGGATATCCTGGCAAATATAAGTGCAATAATTGAGGAATGCGAAATTGAGGCAGCCTATATAATGGGAGATTTCAATGCACACCCTGGATCTAGATTTGGTGGCGAACTACTCTCGTTCTGTGCGGAACAATTGTGGACATGTGCGGATGTGGAATTTCTGGGTACCAACTCGGAAACTTTTACATTCATCAGCGAGTCCCACGGGTCCAGAAGGTGGTTAGACCACTGCCTGGTTACGCAGTCTGCCTATGATACCGTGCAAAAAGTGAATATTATGTGTGATGTGCAGTGGTCGGACCACTTCCCTTTGATTTTATCATGTAATGTGACTGGTTTGCCTGTGATATGTAATACTAATGATATGCCAAAATACGATAATAATAATAGAAAGGGTATAATATGGGGTCGTAGAAATATTGACCAAATTAATGAGTATGGGTGTAAATGTGNGAATACAGCACTTTTTTTTATTGGCCGACACTTTTGATTTTGAACAAAAAATGTATGAATAGTCGATGACTTTAGATCTCAAGTACTCGACGCACAGTGGAGCTACGGCTTTGGTGCCATAGTAACAAATGCTAAGGCAGACTTATTCTGTCAGAATACAGCACTTTTTTTTTTGGCCGGCACTTTTGATTTTGGACCAAAAATATATGAAACGTGGATGAAGTCCTTTCATACAATATCATTAAATAAAATACGCAATATTAATTTCATTCGAAGCATCAATTAGTTATTCATCTGTTAGTTTCATCAGTGCATGTAATTTTAATTAATTCGATATGTTTCGACATTCATAAACAATAATCATTTGCGACCTTGACCGTTAATTAATTCACATGAGCAAATGAATAATAATGAAAGGTAGTAATTTGTGAAAAACCTTATTGGTACCGTAGTATAGAATTCAATAAAACTCAGAAGACGTTATACCTAGTTACTGGTAGATGGGGGTTCAAACTCCGCAGGGGACATAATATTATGTTAGTATTTTCATCATCATCATCATCATTTCAGCCATAGGATGTCCACTGCTGAATGTAGGCCTCCCCCAATGACTTCCACATCGCACGGTTGGTAGCGGCCTGCATCCAGCGCCATAATATTTAAAGCTCTGAGGATAGCTATGAAATAAGTATATTATTTATACATACGTTCCAGTTCGTCGAAAGTGAAATGCGTTTCCTTTTGTATGTCGATCCACATTGCGCCATGTTTTTTCCGGAAGCGAATCTCTTCCATGGGATCCAGATCTGAATCTAAAGAAGCAGACATTTTGTATAGTTATTTTTAAATTATTTTTTCTAAAATCAATAATTTATTATCCAGGTTAGATGGTGATGTTGTGACAGTAATGTACATGTCAATTGTCAAATTATTTGTCACAGATTTGACAGTAAACATAGTACTTTCAACGACTTTCAAGATGGAGGTTTACCTAATTATTTTCACCATTTTCACTATAAGGCTGAGTTGCGCCATCTTACTTTGACTTTAAAAATCGTCAAAAATCTGTCAAACTCCATACAAAATACCCTGGTTATCGTTATAGTTACGGTAAAAGTTAGGTGGTGCAACTCAGCCTAAGAATTTCTGGTAAATTAATTTAAATTTTACAAACTTTTATTTGGCTTGCTATACTTTTTCGTATTATGTCTTGTCTTAATTATACCGCGGAGGTGGCGCGGGTGGTGCGCGCAATGCAGCGCGGGAAGTCACCCGGTCACGACGGTCTTAGCTTGGAACATATTATGTATGCAAGTAGTGAGATATATCTCCTACTTAGTCAACTATACTATAACATGTGTTTAGATAGTAGCTATCTCCCTGACGCCCTGATGAAAACGGTAGTAGTACCTATTGCAAAAAACAAAACCGGNATGGGGAATACTGTTTTAAGCATTTTAATGAATTAAAGTCAGTTTCTAGTCACAAAAATGATATATTTAAAAATATTGATTATTTATACAGTAATATAGTCTCTATTTTACAGGAAGCTTCAATTTCCTCTTCGCGCTCCGGTGGTAGGACTAGCCGTGGGCAGGTCACCGGGTGGAACTACCACGTCAGTAGTTTGCACTATAGGGCTAGGACATGTTTCAGGGAATGGCTGGAGTGTGGTAAGCCTACGAGCGGTAGTTTATACGATAATATGCGTGAAACTCGAAAATCTTTTAAGAACAAATTAAAGTGGTGTCAGGAAAATCAGGAGTCTATAAAAATGAATATAATAACTATGCACAGGGCTAATAAAAACTTTATTAAATTTTGGCGCGCGACCAAATCTACCGAGCATAAACAAAGACTTCCCAATAATGTAAACAATGTCAGTGATCCTGTGGCTATCGCTGACTTGTTTAGTAATCATTTTAAAGCGGAACCGGTCCCGGTAGAGGAGTCATTGGGCACTGCGCCGTCGCCGCGTGCGGACGCACGTCCCGCGCCGTCGCCTGCGCCGCCCGCGCTCCCGCCCGGGCCCTTTACACCCGCGGAGGTGGCGCGGGTGGTGCGCGCGATGCAGCGCGGGAAGTCACCCGGTCACGACGGTCTTAGCTTGGAACATATTATGTATGCAAGTGGTGAGATATATCTCCTACTTAGTCAACTATATAACATGTGTTTAGATAGTAGCTATCTCCCTGACGCCCTGATGAAAACGGTAGTAGTACCTATTGCAAAAAATAAAACCGGTGACCTGTCCAGCGTTAGTAACTATAGACCTATATCCCTGGGTACAGTTATAGGTAAGATTTTGGAGAGGCTAATGCAGCCTGAGCTGGCGAAATATGTACGCGTGAGTGATGCTCAGTTTGGTTTTCGTCCGGGCCTCGCGACGGATTCCGCTATATTATGTTTAAAGCACGCGATTAATTATTATAACACCCGTGATACCTCAGTATACGCATGCTTTCTCGACTTAAGCCGCGCTTTCGACCTGGTAAATTATAATTTATTGTGGTCAAAAATGCAACAATCGCACGTGCCTAAACGTACAGTGGACCTGTTCAGGTACTGGTACGGGAACCAAACTAACTGTGTGAGATGGGGCGACGCGCACTCTAGTGCCTATAGACTAAAGTGCGGCGTTCGTCAAGGTGGACTTACCTCGCCGGACCTGTTTAACTTATTCGTAAATGACCTGATTGAGGAGCTGAGAGGCACCGGACTCGGTTGTCATGTGCAGGGTGTTTGTTTCAACAACCTCAGCTATGCCGACGACATGGTGCTTCTCAGCCCCTCAATAGGTGGCCTGCGTAAACTTCTTGCCGTCTGTGAAAGGTTCGCCTCCACACACGGCATGAAATACAATGTGAAAAAATCAGAATTAATGATTTTTCGCGCTGGCAAGGGTCCGGAGAGGGTNTCATCTTGGTAAGACCTTTCAAACGATACTAGACACATATCTATTGGAGCCGGGTACCATTTTGCCCATTGTCCTTTTATAAATGTTATGTACTAGGTAATTATAATTATTGTCTCCAACGTGACAACCTACATTTTTTGAAAATTTATTATTAAGATATGGGATGTAAAAGCCTGAAATAAAGACTATATTATATATTATTATTATTATGAAAGGTTTCCATCGGACATCTTGGCGGGAGTGTGAAGCGTCATGATAGCAGTTTCGTTTTATTTTCTAAAAGTTGTGTTTAGACGACATTAATGTGTAATAATGATGGATTATCAACCACCCAACCATTATTAACCATACTCGTAGTACTGAGTCTCAAAGGGTGGGAAGGGGTATCATCTACAATCCTTCATTATATCATTTATTTAAGTAACCCAAATCCTATCCCACTTGGTCCCATTTTGTAACTCGTCTCACTTGAAACTTGAAAATAGCAGAAATCAAGTTGGCCTCGACGTGTACAATTACATATTGCCAACATCAAAAAAGAGGACGAAGGCTTCCATCAAAAGAAAGTCATTTTTCAATCATTTAGTTGGTATGATTATATTATTATGTACGTAGTACCAGCTCCAGTAGCCCACACTCGGCCTCGTCGGCACGCGCACCGACGATCGCCAAACGGCTAGAGTACCTTCTGTACTCGCCACTCTGCCCGGTGAAGCTGGAAAAGCTCCTCAAGCTACCAGCGCGCGTCCCTTCAAAAAAAAAAAAAAAAAAAGTCACCGGGGCAAGGAAAATTAGGAAAAGCTTATAAAAATAGTACAATCTTATTTTTTTAACTGTATGGGACTGTGGGTTGAACAAACTCAATTCGCAAAAGTGTAGTCAGAAGGTATGTGGCTGAATCTAATTTTCTAGGGGCTCGGCCGAAAAAAAGTAAGGACCTGAATAAATGTCCTAAACAAAGTTAGACTCTACACCTGGGAATTGAACCTCTGTTAGCATGTTATCACCAGACCACAGAGGCGTTATATACCTAAAATCTCAGTTATTCACGCGTATCTACGAATAGGTAGTAGTACCACGTAGTACCTACTATTTGAGTGGCAAAACACTTTTATAGCGTTGGTGCGGAAGGAGCTTTCGTAGGACAATTTTATTTATACTTAGACTTTTAACCATGTTGACGCTAAGAAGGGTGCTTGTCTGGGCCCGGGACGCGTTAAATGAGCAATTTTACTTTTATAAACGCTTTGGGCAGAACAAAAGGTATTTATCGTTGATTTTGCAGACGAAGTTACACTGTATTAACAAAAATAAAGACTTGCAATAACTTGCAACGTGTGAGACATTTTAAACAAAAGAAAATTATTAAAGGTTTACAAAAGAGTAATTTAATTACATATCGTGCACATGCACTTCGTTCAATTTGAAGAATACATAGTTTTCAGAATGCTAGCCTTACGAATCTGTCGCTGTTCATACGCCCTTTTCATGTCACTTGCATTACTGCATGAAACGTTAGCCCATTTTCTATTTTGATGATTCTCAAAGGTAATTAATAGTTTTCATGAGCATAGTGGTCAGCGATAGAATTACGAGTAGGTACTCCGTTGATGGACAGCTAAAAAAATCAAAAGGCAAATAAGTTTAGATGAACTTTAGCTGAAGAGTAAGTTAGAAAACTGACCTACATCGTATGAGTATTCATCTCAGATCATAGAAGGGAATAGATGTGAAACGGGGGCGTGGCGCGTGTCTCCGCGATATGCCCAGAAACGAACATCGGCCGCGTAGCTAGGTTAGTCGCGNTCAAAAGGGTGGTTTCATGCGAATTTGAAGAAAATATTTCACCCACAAGGGTGGAAAATTGGGGATGAACTTTTTTATACGCAATATCTCCGCCGATTATGAACCAATTTTTTTTTGTCTCAGTGTACTGCCTACCTTCAGTAGTAACATCAAGGTAATAATTAGTTAACTAAAAAGCAAGAAATAAGTAGGTTTTTTGGAGTCGGTTTTATTTTTTTTTATAAAATTTTACTTATGGTTAACTTGTTTGTAACTAGCCCTAATAAAGCATTATTCTATTCTTTTCTATTTTATTTTGTAGTCTTTCTACAAGGCTCACGGAACATCAAACTGAGTTTTACCTACTTATCAAACCTGTGTAATTAGATCTCTTGTCTCAGCTCCAGCCGGCATGTCTAGGGTCAGGGAGGCAACAGTGACTCACTTTTTTTTCGAAGCTTAATAAAAATAGATATCGCTTTAATATTGGCCTAAAATTTTCTCACATTTTAGATACACTATTGAACTGTAACTGAGCACTCATGATTCTACATTATTTACTACTTATGTCAAATTAGGAACCTAAAACAAAAAAATGATAATTGAGCCACTGTGGACTACTAGGTGTACACACTGACTCACTACCGTGGTACACAGTATTAACGTGGTAAGGCAGTATTTATATGAAAAGAAAATGCCCATTCCGCGTAGTTTTTTATTAGAAATAATAACAAAACTGCACAAGCTATTCTTATTATAATCAACAATTCAACACGACTCTTAGTACTTTTATTGCTACCTATAAGATCTTAAGTCATCTCAATCTCTTCGTTATTTATTTTTTCCCTATTTTTCTGTCGGTTTTTTTCCGTGGCATTCTGTGAATAAAAAACAAAATTCGATTTACAGTTATAAAATATTGAATTCGTATAAAGTATTAAAATTGAGTCACTGTGTACTTCTACGCCATTTTGTAAATATTTGATCAAAAAAACCAAGATGTAAAACAAATTAGTCAAAATTCGGATTAAAGACAATTGATACAAGACCTACTATCCGATAAATATAACGGCTATTACCTATAGCAACAAACAAAGATATGAAAACAATCGAAACTCACCTTAGAATGTAATTTAGAGGGCGCGAAAACAAAAAACATTCCCTCACCCTTCCGC